TTTCGCGATTCAAATCGACAAACTGTTGCATATCGAGAACTCGCCGCACGGAAAGTCGCGTGCGACGACGCGACAAATTGGCCCTCTCCGTCTCACGCTTCCTCGCAGCTCAGAGATTCGTTCGAATCAGCATTGACGACGTCGTCATCCCTTCCACTTCCACTTATGGGGGCATTACTGCCAGACGGAGAACACTAATATAAACTGCCGTGCAAAACTTTTATGTAGAAATTTATGTGATGGCATAGGGCTCGCAGCTGTGGGGGTGCAGTTCATATGGTATCGACCAGTCGGAGCGGTGTAAGGAAGCATGAAATCATCTCACCCGCGTCCTTTTCTACCACTGGTTGTTTTCAGCCTGAATCGATCGCGAACCGATCACTATTGGTAAAGAGGGCCGCCGGTGAGGGGCTCATTCCACAACCCCTGACACCGTCCGTCCCCCCGGCTCCGCTGATTGCGAGGATATCAGCTGATCCCTGCAAAAGAATAGGAGTGTGACGGGGCGAAGGTCGTGGATTGGAGCGCTGCCAAGGCGGCCTTTTCCACCAGTGACACCATCCTGAGTCAGCAACAAGCGCGGCAACGCTGTTCACACTGTGCTCCAACTCACGCCCCTCCACAAACTCTGTCGTTTGCAAAGATCCCTAGTTGCACGCTGCGACGTTGGCGTATCCAGCCTGTAACCGCCTCCGGTCACAACGGGAAATGTCCTCACTTGCTGATGATCAATCAAGTGGTGGAACCCCTCCACAAAACATCAACATTCGCGTGCAATTGGTTTGTGGGGGCAACCGATCCTACGCACAATCGGCGAGACTTGCACAAAGCCACTTTGTGAAAACCTTGTTAATTCCTGCGACTAAAGTGGATTTTACCATTTCGCAGCTTTCCAAAAGCTTACATGTGTCAACCTTCTTAATTAACATGTACACGCAAGAGGAAAGTACAAAATGCCCCTCAGAGCCGAATAGCGCCCGAAGCTCTTTTACACTGCATGATGTCTGCGAACTTTTCATCAAATTCACCACAGTCTTCGGAAACATTTTGGAAACCGGTCAATCCTTTCGGCAATCGTTTCAAAGGTCTTTTTGATCTTTCTTGAGAGCGATTTATGAAATAAATGCCCCTCCTTCCACCACTACGGCAGATCGTTGATCGTTCTTCGTCATTTAAGATTTCTGCACTGTAGGCCTTGCTGTGCATGGAGCACATTCTGCTTAAAGTGAAGCCACACGAGCTTGAAAAAGGTTGACCCACTGTCGCACTCCCGCTTTCTGAAAAAATGTTTTTTCACCCTGCCTGCATTCATGAACCGCTCAAGCCGAAAATGAGCTCCAACTCATAGTTTTCGTGTTCCCAAAAAAACAGTACACTTTTACACACTTGGAGGTTGTCAGCTATACAACTTTATTCAACCAGCGTCTCGCACCTTTCGGCGTTGTTTTCAAAAGCCTAAACATGGCTCGAAACTCCAGAATTGCACACTTTCCACGGAACATTTTGCCTTGTCACGCGACAACTTGTGAGGGTTGACTTTTACGATGAACAGTACTTCTCAGAGAAATATGTGCCATGATTTATTGACAAAATTGGTGATTATACCCGGGGTAGGGACACTGTATCAGACTGATGAACACACATGGTGCTCAAAACTGGATGCGGCAAGGCGCTTCAAAGGGGTGGACTGAAGCAGCAAAGGCGGCTGCACTTTCTACCGATAGTTGCGAGCCGGAAAATGCTGCTGTTGGTGGAAAAGTCGCCGCTGATGGGATGTTAGTTCTTGCTTAACTCCACGGAAGGTTGACAAGAATGTTCATTTGCTGGCCGCTAGCCGACGTTTCGGTGAGTTCACCTTCTTCAGAGCCTGAAAGGAGGAAGTTGATTTATGAGCTACTCGACCAAATATCTCACATCCCCACATAGACCTTCGAGCCCTTCCCATTCATCACGTCAACAATAGGGAGATGAAACTATCGTGCTATTCCTGAGTCACTAGATCAGCCTCGAGTAGCTCATAAATCAACTTCCACCTTTCAGGCTCTGAAGAAGGTGAACTCACCGAAACGTCGGCCAGCAAATAACATTCTTATTCTTATCAACCTTGTGTGGAGTTAAGCAAGAACTCATATCACATCACGAAAATGCCAAGGTTTATTGAGAATCAAGCTGCTGATGGGGTTAAGTCTACCACTCCGCATCAGTTTTATGCACTATAACTTAACCTACATAGAAAAACAGCAGGCGTTTTATCATTTCGCATCAAAGAAAATCTGTCTAGAAAAGGCACAATAACATGTCGACACCGCTGGGAAAAGCTAACGAATGAAGGATAGAGATTCACCGTTGATCAGGCCTTTCTGGGATGCATCATGCATTCTTATCAGACCATGTCGTACGTAGGGGAATCCCAAGAGGAGGAGGGGTCGTATTTCGTCGCTGGGGAGAAGGTGGATCGTATTCGGTCTGAGAAAGTTTTTTTTCCTTTGATTGATCAATTGACTGAGTCACGGACGCTATAAGGGGGAGGCCGTATTCGTACAAAATCCAGGAGTGGTGGGGATGGGAAAGGGTGGAGGGGTCATATCATAGAAGGGATTTAGGGTAGGGTATCAGTCCAAGGTTCGCGGAGTTATCGTGCCACTTGCCTTTAAAGTTACTAAAACGAAGCTCCACTGCTCATGATGGTTAAGCTTCGAAACAACATACTCTCACCACGCAATGTACCCTTAGCCATTCCAAACGGGGGTCGTTAAAGCCCCTTCAGTCTCTTGCTGCGAGGACGAGCGGACCTAATCGGTTTCCCCTAAGCTGAGTGGACTCGGCAGGCATTGGTTTCGACCCTATCCTCCCATTCAAGAAACGGAGTCCCTTAACGTGAAATGATTGAGACAACTGGGCCGCCATGGAATTTCCGCAAATGACGAATTATTGGTCGGTCGATGGGCGACGAAACGCGCACTTCTCAAGAAGTACTCGACTTTCAGGTCACAGTGGGCTGCAATGGATATTGCTGATTTTTTGCCTATTCTGGGAAGAAAGGATCCTGAAATGTTCACTGCAATACAAGAAAGGATAAAGAATCAAGGGATTCAAGGGTTGGTGAACCTCCAGAATAGCGAGGATGGTTTGTCTCAAAAATGTAATTTGTACCTGAATGACTAGCAGATTTTGAAGTCAGTGGTCTCTGCACCCCAAAAGATTTCGATACCACACACTGGAAGGCAGTAGGGTATTCTAAGTCGGGTTGGGGCAAAATCGACTTAAGGTTTGACTTCCTTAGTGGGGGCAGGTATGCTTTTGCAGGTAACAAAGCGGGACATTAAAACTGTTTGTTCAGTTATTCCCACAAATGATATGAGGGTCGTAGGGTTCAGAAAAGGTCGCCATCTGTCAATATCTTCATGATTACGAAATGGGACACGGTAACGGCCATATCGGTAATCACAGGGAATAAAAGGGACCGGCGATTGGCAGGTTCCGTCTTCGCATCAAACCGCCATGGCTCGTCTGATCCTCCTTCTCAGCATCGTCGTTGTGTCGCTGGGTAAGAGGTAAGAAACTGTGATCCTTTTTTGAGCCGGCCGCTGATCACAGCTGGGGCCCAACGGAGGTCGTATTCCAGCAGCTTGAGAGAGCTGGTGGAGTTTTCACTGTTTACTTCAGCTTTATAGCATTGTTATGTCTCCGCCAATCCCTTTTCTCGACGGAGTTCTTATCCTATCCTGTTCTTATGGGAAGGGAAACTAAAACACAGAGTTCATTATAGCAGCCCCTAAGATCCGTCGAGCGGGAAGCGGATGCTAGGGATGGCAGGGCCAGCTCAGATATACTTGTCTCTTAAAGATGTCAATACTTCTCGCCATTCGCTGAAAAAAAGTCCCCAAAGGAAAGAAAGTCCAACTACGCTATGTGTCTCGGGAGGGGCAGTCTGCAACTCTGCGTCAATGTTCACTAGCCCAGGGTAGAAGGTTAGCAAGGCTAGAATTCGATGTTGAGACGAGCAGGGAGCTCCAGGGTGGGAAGAGCCTCTCTGCACCACAGAGGGGTAAACGCCAATCACTGGTCCCACAGATGGACTGTATTAGGATGACTGAGGCATGGCAAATGTTGTTATTTCCCTCTCGGAAAGGGGTTTCTGTTTTGAATTGTCAAAGCCTCCACTCCTTTCCTGCTAGTTGCTTTGGCGCGCGGAACTACTCTCTAAACTGCTATTCTGGGTATTGACATTGGTATTGATTAGCGACAACCCCGCCCCATTTTTCCCGCTCGACCAACAGTGGTAAATTGGAGGGGACGGAGACCGAAAACACTTTTCGTTAAAAATCTGAAAAAATTAGGAATCGTGAGTGGGTAGGGAATGAGAGGGTTCGTGGACACTATGAAAGAACTTCTTAGGGGAATGGTTGGTTCGCGTGATGATACCCGCATTTCACACACACGTGCGCTCTACCCTGTTGGCCCATTCCAAATTTGCACAGCTGCAAAGAGTTCACCCATCTTGGAGCTCAGTCCTCCGTGGAAAATCGCACGCTACCACAGCAATGGCGCAAAAAGCAGACTGGCCATTCCGGACAATTAGCGCCGCCAACTAACAACGATTGTCAAGCCTCAAACTCGTTCCCTTGTCCCTCGCAAATTTATAATTCTTCCCGGGCCAACTGTGTTTCACGGATAATGTGCTGGTGGAGAACATGTACCACAGCCAGCCGGTAGCACTAGGTGTAGGGAGGGGGGATGGTTTCAGGGGAACTTCCTCATCTTGATCGCACACCTTGTTTGCGGGGGTGGGGGGAGGGCAGTTTTGTCCTTAACCAGAATGAAATTTGTCTTCACAATGAATGCGTTCCACCTTTGACAATGAAAGTCCACCCATTCAGGCTTGCACTCCACCAGCGCCAACGTCAGGGGGAGGTGGTGGCAAAGCTGCCAGTAAGAAGAAACGCGCAGTTAACGAAGCGCACGCCCTCGTCGTCACCACCTACAACTACTATCCGGAAATGATTGACACTTACATGAAAGCAGTGAAAGCCGCGGTAAGTAATGGATTACCCCTAGCGAGTGGAGAAAAAGCGCTCGTTGATCCGCGGGGATTCCTGAAGCTACCGAACTAAGAACATAAAAACCTTCTCATTTAGGGTGAGAAGTATGCGGCAGAGAATGGAGTCCTCGATTTCGACGAAGTGGTCGAGGAGAAACCCGAGAACGTTGGTGGGAAGTTCGCCATCTCCTACACCATCCTTGGTGTGAACTGCAAAGAGGTATAACCTAGTAGGATTCATAGTTCTATTGCTTTCACGGCTTCTAAATGCTCCACACTTCCCGCGAGCGCTCCTACTCGCCCACCTCACCTTTTAAGAGCAGACCTTTCTGAGCGCATATTAGCTCGGTGGTGACACCGAATATTACTCAGCGAATTTCATGCAGGTCACCTTTCAGATCTTGTATCTTAAAGGGCAACACTTGTTCCACCTTGCAGTTTTACCGAACCGAACTGCGTCCTTCCTGCTTTCAGCAATGCAGAGATGTGTCCTGCTTCAACTAGCTCCTCTAAAGGCACGTTCCGCGATGGAAAGGCGCATCTGAAGGAGCTGGGTGGCCCAGTGGTAAAGAAAAAAGCAAAAGGAACCCCTAAGAACTCCTCCTAATAACTCCCTAATTGAGACCTCCCTCATGTTTGTACGAGTTCTTCTGGGACGAGTTTCCCGTTACACCTTGCGTTACGCTGGTGAACCTATACGTCCGCACCCACGGTACCTCCTAGTTGATTCCTTGAGACGTGTTTGCTAACTATTACTAAGTGTCATGCTCCGTTATTATGTTAATATTCCCTGTGGGTGGAGCCAAAGGTCGAGGGGCGGAGCTTTAGACGAGTAGCAAGCCCTAACATACTGCCATGCATCTTTGAGATAAAAATGGTATACCCTGCGCGAGTATGAGCCGGTCCATGTTATTCGCGGAAACAATGCCTTTTGTCAAATAGTCGCGAAAACTGTATTTGAGGGCACTGGGTGCGCTTACTCGGTTGCCATTCGAAAATCAATTTGTCAATTTTTCGAAAATCATTTTGTATGTTAAGAGGTGTGGCAACGAAAGAGAAACCGCAAGGAATAGACGAATACCTGTAAAATTGTTCGCAGGTGCTGTAACGTGCTACGTTCCCATTCAAAAGTGCACGGGAAAAGGGCGCGGGAGTAGTGGTACCCGCGTGTCGTCTCTCTACTCCGTCGCCGTCATCCTCAGGGTGCAGCTCTTGCGTTGGATACCAGAATCCCGCAGCGAACAGGCAATCAGAGGTAGAGGACAGCCAGAACGAGAGAGCACAGACAAGTAGCGCGTTCGGCTATGGTTAGGCGTGTGGCCACTATCCTTGAGTCCAGAGAATTGCCTCACGTTACATATCTTACCAGAAAACTACAACTTTTCAGCTCAAAAACGTCCTCATGAACGCCAAACAGAAGGGAAGCATCGAATACGCCACTATGAAATGCGGCGGCCAAGAAATTGTTCTATGATTTCGCCATTGAAATAAATAGTGCAGCATTCACTCATGTGTCTGTGTTTTGTACAAAGACAGCCTTTCATATTTTGATATGTGCCAAGACACTTCGTAATACACCGCTATGGTGGGCGTGGCGAGCGACGCCGCGCCGGCGGGCGAGGTTTTCTGCCTGACCCTTTCAGTTCAGAGTCTAAATGGAACAGGAAAATGCAGTATCGCCTGTCATGGAGTCTTGCCTCCGCCCGAATCCTTATGCGTTTCGCGATTCAAATCGACAAACTGTTGCATATCGAGAACTCGCCGCACGGAAAGTCGCGTGCGACGACGCGACAAATTGGCCCTCTCCGTCTCAAGCTTCTCGCAGCTCAGAGATTCGTTCGAATCAGCATTGACGACGTCGTCATCCCTTCCACTTCCACTTATGGGCATAACAGCCAGACATGAACAATACTAAATATCAACTACCGTGCATAACTTTTATGTGGAAATTCAAGGCATAAGGCTCGCAGCTATGGGAGTGGAACTGATATCATATCAATCAATCGGAGCGGTGTAAGAAAGCATGAAATCTTCTTAACCGCGGCGTTTTCTACCACTTTTTATATTTTGAATCATTCGCAAACCGATCACTATCGGAAAAGAGGGCAGCCGGTGCGGGGATCACTCCACCATTCTTGATGATACCGCCCCTCCTCCCGACTGATTGTAAGGATATCAGCCACTCTTAATCTCTAAAGAAAGGGAGAGTAGCGGGGCGTGGGTGTGAATTGGAGCACTGCCAAGGTGGCTTCTCCTCCAATGACATTATCCTGAGTGAGCAACATGGCGGGAAGGCTGTTTACGGGGTATGTGGCAAGAGAATTGTTATTCGCCGCTCCAGTGGGCGTCGCGGGCGACCTCGCGGCTGCTAATGACGACGATTTTATTTGGTAGTGGTCGACAATAAACAAGATAAGACCAAGAATAGACACAAGTGTCTGCCATGTCCCTGACAACATGGAACCCGCTGCTCCAGTCGAAAGGGTGGTGCGAATCAAGGCAAGTCGCGCCCATAGTCGCGCGTCATGGTTCAAACTATAAATTCGCTAGACGTCTGGCGTGATCCCGCGGTAACCGTGTGGTCCAACGAAGTGCTCACTTGGTGATGGTCCATCAGGTGGCGGAACCCTCCGTGAAAACAGGTTCGGTGCAAACTGGCTCAATGGGGGCACCAAGTCGTACTCAGCGAGGCTTATACAAGCCTCGTTTGTGGAAACCTAAGTTCCGACTAAAGTAGCTTTACCATTTCGCAGATATCCGAAATTACAGGTTTTAACTTGCTAATTAAGCTGTACATGCAAGAACAAGTAGGAAGGTGCAAAATGCCCCTCAAAGCCGAACATCGCCTAGCAGCTCTTTTACACTGCATAAGGGTCATGTTGTTTTTTCTCCGAAGCAATTCTGCGGCATAAATACATCTTTCACCGAGGCGGCGGATCCCTCTGTTTCGGTGAACTCTTTGAGCTTCCGCTTTGTAGGCCTTGTCCTACATGGACCTCAGTCTGCTTGAATTACGAGTGAAGCCATACGAGCCTGAGAAAGGTTGACCATACCCGCAGTCGCGCTACCGCTTTCTAAGAAAATGTTTTTCACTCCTTTTTGGCATATATGGAACCGCTCAGCGAAAATGAGCCCTCATTCGTATTTATCTTTTTCTACACAACACTTACACACCGCGAGGTTGCCAGCCACAACTTATTCGGCCAGCGTGTTAAACCTTTCGGCGGGCGCAATTCGGCGACGGTGAGGGGCGGAGCACTTTGCTACTTCCCATCGACGGGTCCCAATCTAGACAGCCTCTTCTCGAGTTGACAGGTTTTACCATGATGGCTTGACGACCTTGCTCCAGCTTCACAAGAGTTCACAGGTTTCGCCAGAGTGAGACTTGTAAACCGGAACTAGGGAAGCAATGATAGTACAAAATGCCCCCCGTCGCCGAACTGCGCCTTCGGCGTTTTTTTCAAAGGCGTAAACATGGTTCAAAACTTTAGAATTGCACCTTTCACGGAACATCTTGCTTTGTCACACGACAACTTGTGAGGGTCAAGACTTACGATGAACAGTACTTTTCAGAGAACTATGTGCATGTTCTATCAGCAAGATAGGTGATTACACCCGGGGCAGGAGCACTGCATCAGATTGATGATCACACACGGTGCACAAAAGTGGTTGCGGCGAGGCGTCAAAAGGGTGGGCTGAAGCCCAGAGGCGGCTGCACTTTCAACCAATAGTTGTGAGCCGGACAATGCCGCTGTTGGTGGAAAATCAGCTGCTGATGTGCTCCAGTCCAGCGCTCCGCCGCGTTCAGTTTTAGTTTTATGCACTATAACTGAACATAAATAAAAAAAAACCACGAGGATTTTATCATTTCGTATCAAAGAAGATCTGTCTGGAAAAGACACAGTTAAGGCGACAGCGCTGGGAAAAGCTAACGAATGAAGGATAGAGATTCCACCGTTGATCAGGCCTTTCTGGGATGCATCATGCATTCTTATCCAGACCATGTCGTACGTAGGGGAATCCCCAATAAGGGTAAGACAGTCGTATTTGGTTCGATGGGGAGAGGGTGGATCGTATTTGCTCGGAGGAAATTTTTTTTGATAGTTGATTTCACTTGTGTCACGGACGCTACAAGGAGGGAGGTCGTATTCGTATAGAATCCAGGAGAGTGGAAGGGTAGGATGGGAAAGGGGGGGGGAAGGGGGTCGTATCAGAGGAGGGAATTAGGGTAGGGTATTAGTCCACACGGCTTGGGGATTTATCGTGCCACTTGCCTTCAACGCTATCAAAACGAAGCTTTACTGCTTATGACGATTGAGATTTCAAACAATCTACTCACCGCCACATTAAAACCTTAGCCGCTTCCAAACGAGAGCCGTTGAACCCTCTTCAGCCTCTTGCTGCGGACGAGGACATGCGAGCATGATCGGGTTCAGCGGAGCTGAGTGACTCAGACATTCGACCCTCTCTCCTCTCAGTCAAGGTGGAGCCCTTAACGTGAAATGATTGAGACAACAGCGCCGCCAGGGAATTTCCCCCAAACACAATTGCGTTACGGTAGTAGGTGCTCAGTCATGAACTGGTAGCCCATGAGTGATTCCCCAGTTGAGAAAGAAGACACGGTAAGGCACGCTCAAGAAAGACCGCCGGAACTTCGCATCTCCATTCTACACAGAAATGTGGTGGATCCAGTTGAAAGGAAGATCAGGGAAGCAATGGAAATAAAGCAACAAGAACCACCCATCAACAGCAAGGAGGAGATGAAAGTGGCAATGGGATTGATCCTATATATAATCCGCTAAGTATGTCTGTAAGTGTGTGTGTGTCTGTGTGTGCGTCTGTCTGTCTGTCACGAAATTCATAGCGAGCGTCGCAGAAAAGATAGGATGACAGTTCCAAGAAGTGATATACACGGCAGGACGGGAACACTTTTGGTGGGTGACAGAAGGTGATAACACCTGATAAGATTCGATAAGGGCCTTAGAAGGGAGGGTGACCGAGTCCATAGTGCGGGACACAGTAACAGTGGGACATTGGTTCCAAGGTATGATATAGGACGTGGGACAGGAACATTATTGGTGGGTGGCAGGGAGTGATATCAGCTGATAAGATCTGAAAAAAGGCGTCAGAACGGGAGGGGCACCGAGTCATAGTGCCGGACACAGCATCAGCTAGGCGTTGATTTCGGAAAATGATATAGAGTGGGAGATGGGGACATCGACGGCAGGTGACAGGAGGTGATAACAGCTGATAGGGGCTGATAAGGAACGTTGCCATTGTTGTTCAGTCAAATTGCTGGAGCCTTTACACTACCAAATTATAGAGTTTTAGTGATAGGGACATTGATGACGGGTGACAGGCAATCTTATCAATTGATAAGAAAGGATAAGGGCATTCTCATTACATCTCTTATCACTATACTGCCAAGTATTGAAGGCTCAGTGTGCAAACTTTTCCTTTAGCCATCACTTCTCTGATAGCCTAGAAAATGAACTCATCCTACTATATGTCATGTGACGAGCGGGGGGGGGGGATATGTAGTTCGCCTGAAACAGGAATTTCGGGGAAATTCGAAGAGAACCAAAAACCTCACTTCACGCGTTCAATAGCTCAATAGCTCTTTTTACCTCTGAACATACAATTACTGATGAGAACGAATAACAAGGGAGTATAGTACCTACTAATAATTATACTTCAGGGAGCGGATTTCATGCTAATGCTATCAAAAAAAAGATTCAATGATAAAAAGAGCTTCGCCGTTCTACACACTACAGCAAGATTAAACACAATGAAGCTCAGGGAATCATCTATTCTGAGTTGGGAAAGAAGTGAAAAAGCTTCTGAAACACCCGGAACAGAGCCCCCCCCCCATCCTCTTAGCAGTAGAGCCGGCGCCTTGGACGACTTCGGCGGACGTCGAAAAGCCGAATCAGCCGAAGTTCGACATGCAACCAGTCCCCGGCAAGAGCACAGAAAATCACCCTACGACGCTCCAGGCAACGCTATGTACACACGCGATTCCGCTTGTAAGCCGTTGTCTTGCAGAGTGAAAGTAATCGTGGTTGCAATGGTTGCAATAATCACGCGTCTCTAGCTTCTTTATCTCGCCGTTTGAAGTGACGAGAGTGGTATATTCTTTGCGAATGGGGACGGAAGCGTTTTGCAAACCATTAGATTGCAGAAACTCTCTTCAGTGACGAACTAGTGGTTGGTCGATGAGTGAAGAAACCGGCACTTTTCGAAAATACTTGCCGTCCAGGTGAAGGTGGCCTGCAATCGGATGTTGCCTATTTCTCACCCATTTTGGAAAGAAAGGGTTCCGCAAGGTTCTCTGTAAGACAAAAGAAAATTTAAACAATCAAGGGTTAATATTCCCTCAGAAAAGGGAAGATGGTTTGGAAGATCAAATTGTGCCTGGATGACGAGAACTGCTAACAGATTTTGAATTCAGTATTATTTGCTCATCGGAAGATT